CGAATTCTGCGGTGTCTGAAACCCAGAATTGTGTGAGCACCATTCCTCCGGTTTTGCAGGTGGGTGTTTTTCGGTGAAACTTGGACACAAAATACTGCCCATCTCCTCAATTATGATTTGGTTTGACTGCAGACCTACCACTTCGAAAAATTTGTATTTGAATGATACAGATATATTTGAAAGTGTGGTTCGCGTCCTTCAAATTTACCAGGGCTGCATAGACAAAATTGATTCATTCGAGCGATTAAAAGTTTGAGGATATTCACAGGAATGACTAGGGATAATGTGTTTAGCCGTATCCTTTCTGGTAAGACAAGATTTCAAGGCAGTATAAACTTTAAATGGAGCAAAAATTCTGTCACTCGTTTTCCGGCTTCTTTTCTCATGGACCCACAGCGTGTAAGCGCAAAGAAGTGGAACACGTCAAGAACACTGAGTCTCGTCATCCGAAGAAACCGAGATTAGTGTTCACGGATATCCAACGTCGTACGCTTCATGCGATTTTCAAGGAGACCAAACGACCCAGCAAAGACATGCAGGCAAGTACATTTTAATCCCGTTTGACGGTCTGCGATTAATAATTTTAGTAGCCAGTTGTTTTACAGAAAGACATTGCTTATGCATTAGATTGGAGTAACACAACAGTTCATAGTAATATATATGTATATATGAAACTATTTGTACCTCGAACTAGAATGAACAATTCATATAGATTCCGTATTTGTTGTTGATGGTTTTTGCACAATGAAGCATTCTGTTTAAACTGTTCTGATATCTAGGGTGGTGGTGATCATGTAGTTTTGGTCACTGACTTATTGCTTTGGAGGACGTGTTCGATCATCAACTAAACTTCTTAATTTGCTACGTATGATAGCCCTATGATTGGCCCTCTCCTTCTTCTTGAAGATTGTTTGTTTAATAAAAACGAAGTAAGAAGATGTATCTACACAAATTTCACACGCGTCAAAGTCGAGACGGTGCGCCAAACAAATCACCGTACAATTAAGAAGAAACAACTAGAAGTAATAGATTGATCAGTTTCGGCATTCTTTCAGCCATCAACTACTCGCCAATCAAAGCATGCTTTCATAGTCTCCGCTGCAGGGCAGGCATCACCTTTTGATACATTTAGTCGGACAAAGCTAGTCATGCTATTCAGTGTTCACAACTGATTACCTAAGACAGCATATAAATATGTTTTTCACAATCTGTTATTATACCACATACGTGTGAAATTCTTGGAAAACACTCGTTGTGGCATTTCATCAATGATTGGTTTGTAAAGGGGAATTAAATCAACACCACTAAATGTGCACAAATGACTCGTCTGCATATATTTATTTCTAAGATTCATTGGTGTGACGCTTCGGTTGACAAAACCCAATACAGTCTAAAAAATGGAAGATGATTTTTTATTCATCCTATTTTCCCACAACGCACGGAGACTTTTGGCTACTTGTATCATGAACTTGACACATGGGACCACTGAAACCATTGAAATTTTTATCCATTTCTACTTTATTGTCACCCAATCCACCCATCCCCTGTTTCTGTTATTATTGCTGTGTTGTTGGCGCCATGTCCGCAAGCGGCGGATATATATATATAATCTTCATTATTTTTACAAACAATTAACCAATAGTTTTCAATTAAGCTTAACAAAGACGTTATTAGCGAAAGAAGAAATCGGCAATTTTCAATAAATTCTTGAAATACTTTCTCCAGTTCAACTAGCAGCTTTACCGAAATTCGTTATTTAGTCTCTGAAATATGCTAATGAGTTAATCCCGAGGGGACTTCACAAACGTAGGTGATTCATCATTGTGAAAACCTTGACAGTAGCAAAAGCTCCGGCAACTGTTAAATTTTTTGACCAAATTCGAAGAATGGAGGAATTCTGGTTCACCGTAAGGTTTCACTGATTTACTCGCTGGTTACCATGATACATTCTTACAGTGTGCTGATTAGCAATCATGCCGTCGTTTCTACCGTCAATTAAGTACTCGAAGAAAGTTTCTGATTATTTGAAATAAAGAAGTAAATTCAACTAAATTTGAGCTTGTTTAGATGCCGCAAACCTCGCATAATTTGGAGGGTGTAAGCCTGTTCTATGTTTATTTGAATGAGCACTGTGCTTCATTCGCGCAAAGAGAAAAACCTGGCATCCGAAATTCTCATCCGTTGCGCACATCCACGCGTGTTCTTAATCAAACAAACTTTCAACGCAGTTTATGGATAACTGATAGTTTGCGTTGCGATACCATAAGAAAAATTAGTAAGTATTATCCAAATTAGGTGACAACACGAATAAATTCAACTTTAGCGCACATTATCAAACTTTCACCAAAATTTTCATTTCTAGAATCTTTTGGGGATAGAACAGCGATATTTATTCACCAATTTCCCGCCATATGCATCCCAAGTTTCTGTTGCTTACGGCTGCCTACTTTCATCCAGGATTTTCGATTCATTAGTTCTCAATATTTCAAAAGTACTTCTAATTCTATAACTACTGCAAAAGACAACCGGAAGGGTCAGTAGTATTTTGTTCTCTCGAGTTCCGCTTGCGATTAATTCAGCACATTTGGTTTCTAAAGCGACGAAACTACAGTCAACTGCGGTAATTCAAAATCATTTTTCAACTTTCAGACAGAATTTTTCAAATTCTCTATTAACTGAAACTGACTGGCCCGATCAGGCCTACTCTGTTCAAATGTCTCAAAGGGCTTACCGATTTGTGTTCATTAGCAAAATGAAATCATTTTTGTCACAAAACTGTTAGAATTCTTACTATAATCAGCGAATTATCACTCGAAACGTAAACATGTGAGCTTCTTTTTTCTTTTTTGCATTTAGATACGTGGAGTTTTACCAACCTGTTTAAATATTTCAACAATCAAAGTGAGATTGAGAGTAGATTTTATGAAAAGGTCCACATCATTGCTCCATGTCATGAAATTTGAGTAAATCAGCCTAATTATTCGCTTGTTAGCTCTATTGCCTCACCGATGATTAGTCAAGTACGTTTAACGACTAATCCTCTCAAAATCTTCCAACGGTAATTGTTTTGTATTGTTGAAGGCGATTCAAGACTGGTTTCTCTAATGTTTGAGCGTTTCTCTTTTAGCTAAAAGCGAGCTCTGCACCCGTGTTGGCTTAAGACTGAGCTGTCCTGCAAACGGACATCACTTCTTTCGCTCATATTGTATAGGTCAATAGTGATTCCATACAGTCACAGCATGAATTCATGTCATTTTGAGTCGATATTCTAGCGTTTGCTTCAAAGAGTTCTCAAACTATTTTCTTGTAGAGAAAAACAAGGTTTTGCGCTTTGGGAGTAGCGATAATTATTCATATTGGCCCTTAGTCACTTATGGATTCTGCCACTCGAACAAGCAGCTTGCGAGAAAAAATCCCACTCGTTTGTTATCCCCAAGTTGTCCGACTCAATACTCCTAACCTGTCGGCTTGGCTGACGCGAGAGTGCTATTTCAGCCGCCAGTCTTGTAAACGTGGATGTCTGTGTGTCTATGACCACGTTTCCGTGCATGCGCCACATTCGCGTCCTCTTTGAGGTTGGCCCTCCCGTTGATATCCTCTTTTGACCACAGCGGGAACGGGGTTTCAGACTGCGAGTCTGCCTCGTTCGAAAGGGGAGTGGCACAAGTGCGTGGGAATCTGTCCGCTTGAAGCCAGGTGTGAAAGATGAAGGGTTTCTGAGTTGTATGTCTAGGTCGAGTCACGGGTACTGACCAAGGGAAGCGCTGGACAGACGAGCGCGTTCGAACATGTGAACAGCGAAAAGGATGTCGAGACGCTGAACTGACAACTCAGTTTTGGTTTGCCCGTGTGTCTGTGGCTACGTTTTCGTAATTTGTTGATTTTATGTGATCTAAAATGTATTGGAAGCTCGGCGAGAACAATATTCTTAGCTGTTGCATATTTCAACTCAACGCAGCCTGGTAGGACCGGTTACGATTTTTGAGAGTTCTCTTTCTGTTGGTCAGTTTGTTTCATCCATAGTATAGTGATCAATTAACCTTTCAGGAAATAAGTGAAACGTACATTTGATGTGTGGTCTGTCATACAGAAACAACGGGATTGTACTAATTTGAAGAAGATATAAGCCAGCACATTTTTCCGTTGAGATTCAGTGAACCGTGCTCAATGGCAGTTTTGTATTCATCATTCATGAATAATTTTTAACTTGTATACGGTCACGTTTAACTTAGATCTCCTATTATAAAAATAGTATACAATTATGAACACTTCGGGAAGCACGTAAGGCATATCTCCCGTGTTATTCACAGTGACAACTTGGATAACTAAAACAATCACAAATTTTACAAAATCCAAAGTTTAAAATTTTCGATCACTCTTTCTCTCGCGACCTGCATTGAATTAAATTCCCCACATTACCTTTCCGATATAGTTAACCAACTGATAGACTATAATAAACCAACATTCTTCCAATGTAAGTTGATCCACAACATTTTCATTTTACTCGATTCGTATTTTTTGTAAATAGAGGTCAACTACCGAAACCGTCGTTTAATTATCTATTTTGTTAATTTTAAAGTCTCCAGCTATATACTCGAAGTAATCATTGCAGGTCATAGATGTGGGCATTTGAATTAAGCGCGAGCAAAATTTGAACCAAACTAGTAACTGCTCCATAATTTATACTTCCCTAAGAGTCGAGCAGAATCACTTGATCTCTACTTCCAGTGGATAATAGATTATTAGACTAAAGAGGTATAAATGAATTTTAGGTGAAGTATGTATGAAATTTGTGGTTTACAGGTATATTTTTCTCGCTTTCGTAAAACATTTCTGACTGTTATAAAAAATCATTTGGTCAGTCTCTTCTCTAAGTTAATAAATGTGAGATAACCAGAATATGGATTTCAATCAAATCGGCCTTGTTTTTAATCCATTCTTTGCAGTCGACTATTGCCCAACAACTCGGGCTGGAAGTGTCCACGGTGGCCAATTTTTTTATGAACGCCAGAAGACGATCCCTGGATAAGTGGCAGGAGGATGCAAGCAAAGCCTCTAGTCTGGCAGATTCTCCGTCCCCTGGTTCTCCTTCGAGCAGGAGTGGACAATTGACTAGATCGGCGAGTACAAATATGTGTTGCCTGAAAGAAGGTGATTCCGCTCAGATGGAACCCTGCTCACCAGGGGGTCGACGAACAGGTGTTAACTCGATGAACATTGCTGGTCAGATCCCTGGGAACAAACCAAGTGACAATGGTTATATGTCCACCGTAGCTCGAAATGAGCTTGGAAGACTGACAAGAAATGGATGTCTGAGCAACGGAAGTAATGTTTCTAATCCCAACATGAATAATCAGAGCACACCTCATATAAATGGGACTGGTTTGTTCAATTCTATTCATCGATCAGCCTCAACTCAGGCCACATTTACTCCTTCAACTCCGAATTCAAACCTGGTCAATTCAGGACATCTTCCTGGTGCAAGTGCGACCAATTTGGCGCATATTTCTGGAGCATATGCTAATAATACTTTTGTACCTCACCACCATGACGTCCATCAACTGAATGCTGCAACCCACTTGTATCATACACACCAACAACATTCCATACAACATCCTCACCACCAGGGTGTAAACATTCAAAAACCACTTATACAACAAACACCATTCATGGAACGCACTGAAATGCACCACTCAAACTCAACTCACCCAACCGTGGTGCACGGTCCACCCAGTGGTGCTCTCGGTTCTGTCTTATTACGCGACCCAACTTATCCTCACGCAAATGCGCCAAGAGGCCCCCATACCTTTATCTTTCCGTCTGGAGGACTGCATAATCCTCAGGCAATAGGAGCGCCACATCTGAACCTATTTCACTCAGGAACTGGGGCGAACGGAACAGTGCGAAGCCATTTCCTTATGCGAGATCTTGGAGCAGGAACGCAATTCGATCACCACTTTTTGAATACGATGAGTAATGGGCAACGCGCTCTGACTGCGCAAGCCATTGAACTATGCAACTCTTTGGCTGCAGCCAACTCTGCGTCATTGTCCTCCGGAGGAGAACGTCCTGATGAACAGCAAAATTCAAGCCAAAATCAATTCACAATGAATCCGGAAGTAAAGATTCATTCAGGTGAAATTCCGGAGGAAGAAAAAACCAAAAGCGACACACGCATGTCCGAAGAGCCCAGTTCTTCAGACGAGCAAGGTTCAAATCAAACTGCAGATCAAATGGAAGACGTAATCTCACCGCAAAATCGAACACTGGATAATATCCGTCAAACATACTTCAATACCAGTGAAATGGAAACTATAAAGGGCGACATAAGCTGTCTTAGTGATGCGATATGTGAACTGGTTAACTCTGATGATGCAGATCTACGGGAAGCTCTGAACGAATGTGATTCCGACGAGTCTTCCTGAATGGAACCTATGAGCTGTGAACTCCCTTTTATCATCAATATGGGTTAACCGAATAGTAACATGTCACTTAACAACAGTTAGTCCTCCGGTTTCCAGCTGGTTTAAGATCATTTTATTGACATTTCGAGCTCGAATAGTTCCATAATGTTTTGATGTACAAAGATGACGATTGCAGTTGTGCCGATTGCTTTCCCAACTTTTGCACTTCGTCCCCTCCCTTTCACAGGATACATCTTGTGTACTCTCCTGATCCCGGTTTCTGTTTCCACGATCCGCCTTATTGCTTTTCTAGCACTCAATTATGTGTAAAACCTCGGTTTTCACCAATTCTGTTCACCAGTCCCCGGTCTTGACCATATTCACAATCCACAGCATTCGCACCAGTGCTCAAGTCCATATCTTACCACAGTTGGCTCCCTTGTTAAGTGTACTCCTCTGTTTGTCACAGACCTGTACTGACTGCATTCCGGAGTGGATGAATTTATGCGTGAAAAGTACGTACGGATTTCCAAATAGATTCTTTATTTTCTGTCGTTCCTCCGTCCTACAGGAAAGGTCATCATTTTGGCTTCTGTGCGAAATGACCGGTGCCCTTTCTCTACTTCCATGCAAATTTTCTCTAACCGCTTAAAACTGAATTTATCCTCCGTGCTCTGTCTGAAGTCAGTACAGGTAATTGTGTTTCTGCACAAAATGCAGACAAGAGTTTACAAGAACAGAATTTATTCGTGATCATCATCAACAACGGAGATGATCTGTTGTTAGTTTTGTTCAGTTTGTTCGCTTCCCTCATTCCGTGCACAGGTGCTCACATGTACAAATACATACAAACGTCCCGGTCAGTATTGGTTATCATTCTTAAATGTCCTATTCCAGATGAACATATTGCAAAATGAAACTCCAGTCCAATGTCACTATTCGCACCAAGACACATTCCATAAGGTAGTGGTGGTGATGGTGATTATGGTGGTGATGGTGGTGGTGGTGACCAGTCCCTGATTTTCAGGTCACTCACAATCTTTCTTTGTCTGATAAATCCCGTTAGTGCTCCTCCCATCAGTTGTTTTTTTTTGAGAAATGCACGTTTCGAGCCCTGTTGCGAATACTGTTTCTTATTCACTTCTTTCTTGAAAGAAATTCGTACAATTGATATTTCGTCTTCGTGGGTTCACTTCACTTGCCAGTCCCACGCAATGAACCGGGGAATCTGACGCACTTCGTTTCTAATGCACCAAACAGTTCAACAGGACACACTGATGAAACTACGGCTTGACCAAAACCATCGATTAGACTGATTTAGCATACTTAACCTCGCTTACATACCTCTTGACAACTTTGCTATAAGGAAGGTAAAGTGCGTCTCACGTTATGGTTTTGACCTCTGCACATCTTCAGTCTTGCGTAACTAAACAGAGAAGGTCAAAACAAGGCCTGGGTGGGTTCAGATGTGAAAGCGAAGTGCAAACGGAAACAGAACCTTATGTGTTTCAGTGATCGAGCAGTACGGAACGGGGGGTGGGGGGGTCAGAGGGCAACTGCTGGTCAATATTATGTTCCGACGCAAATGTCACAGGACCTCCGAGTGGTGAGGTTTGCTATTGCAATTGCGCAGCTCGGAATGGCATGCTCACTCATGTGAAATCACGGGAGCTTAATTTGTGCCTGAGAATCAGACTTGCTTGAGGCGAGGAACATGCACGGTTGAAGAGAGTTGTGCACAAACAAGCTGAATGCAGTCAACGTATGTGGGCGTACTGGCAGACCCAAGAGATTGAATAGGAAACAATTAGCTCTACAGTTTCGAATATGAGAGAAAGCGTGAGGGTTCCTCAAGTAGGTGTGTCTGTGCCACCTCGTGGGATAGACATTTTCTGCATGCTGACAAATTAACCCGGAAAGAGGGCAGTAGCCGGGATAAGTCTGTTCCTGCGAGTGTGGTGATGGAGACAGAGGAGCGTGGGTGAGCAAGTTAAGACGCTACTGAATAGCTATCCCTTCCCACTGATTTGATTGTGTTTGCTCAGTGATGACTAGGGTAGCGAGAATTGTTCGGGCTTATTATCGTGCCACGACATTCCAACTCTGTGCCTATATGTACGAAGACTGAGGGAGAGGGAAATTTTCTAGTTGAATGGGCTTGTTTGCTTCCATGTTAGGATGGATAGGTGTTCGTGTGTGCTCGGATTTAGGAAACGGTTGAATAGGCACTTGACCGCTCGGCTTCTGCCGCGACACATTTGGCTGATCTCTGACGGTTAATGGACAATAATTAGACAGCAATTGAGCATGACCTGGATGGTAATACGTTTTCAATTGAAGTAAATGATTTCGGAGTGACTTAGAAAATCTTTGCCACACGAATTCTCATCCGCAACTGAATTGCTTTGGCGGGGATAGCTCTAATGAGGTTAAATACAGATTTATAGGTTTCATTTCCATGAAAAATCACAATTACCTAGCGCTCCAGAATTACCCCTGGAAAGTGATGTAACCGTACAGATAAATAATTATAATACATTACACATAATTTATTATATATATGAATATGTTGTATGTGAGAATTTTTTACCCCGATCTAATAGTCAGTGTGAACGGGAAACAGATGAGTGTCAGTTTGATCAATCAGTCAAATGCGATCTCGCTTTGGATCGAAAATTTTGCGTGCTCTGATTGGAGTCACTACAGATTCGGCGGACTCGAAGATGATGCTAATTCACAATCGGGATGAGACAACCGAACCGTTTGGTGAGTGATACATTCACACTGTCCGACAAATTTACCTTGCTTGATTTGTTTGCATTTCATGCGTGAAAGAGCAAGTTGTTTCTAAAATAAGTTGTACATCTTTTCTAATGTATATCCGCGCAGAAAGTTAACAAGGTTGACTAAACACCAATTAGATGACGAGATCAAATTTATCTCATATAAACCACAGTAAAGTTTATAATGTTTTAAATTCGTTTACACATAATGCCCCAGATTTCTTTATAGAATGACCAGCGCGAACTGATTAGCTCTATCAAGCAATCTGAGTTGTTTCAAACAAATATCTCAGAACTTTAATATTTTCTCGGTACCGAGGACCCGAAATTACTGCTAGAGGAGAAATTCTTCGTATATATAGCAAATGAAGCCTAGACCCAAAAGTTAGGATGCACTGAACAGCTGTTTCGACCTTGTTGGGTCTCATCAGCAGTGCGAATCCTTCGACCCAACTGGGGATCGAACCCGGGACCTCACAGGCATGCTACCCCCGGACAGCTAATCAAATCGTTTTTGTTGGAGGGTAAGCAAATCATAAAATGACCTAGTGTCATCGCACACACACGAGGTATTTCACTCTTTCTCTCACTCTCTGTACATGGAATGAACCAGAGCAGGCATGTAATGATCAACGGGCACAAACTCAGCGAACTTTTTGGCCAAATAAACTGTAATCCTTGCAAGATTAATCTCACACACTCAGTTTGAACTCAAACGGGTGTGAAATACATACATACTGCAAGGACTATAAGATTCCGAGGACGATGAACGGAATTTGGCTTCATTTTTTTGAATGGCCACGATAAAAATCGTCTCATTTGTGATTTCAATCTTCTGCGTTGTTCTGCGTTCTACTTAAAGATTTTAAGAGAACAGACATTGTTCTGCGCAAATAATTAATCATAGTCAAGGCCCTGGTTCCACCTTTAAGCCTCTCAAACTTCGCCTTTTTGCTCTATTTTTTTTAAAATCTCTAACTTCACACTCAATCACATTTCCGTACCTTATAGTGTGCGTCAAACGGATTGAAGATTACGAGTCATCGAGACCAAGCTCAAAATTTTGTGTTGTGTTCGAAAACTTATTCGTTTCAGAAAGCATACCTAACTGGACAATCGATCAGAAGAATAGATTGTCCACTTATACTGAACCGATTTCATTATCACAGTCTCGCCATGTAGCTTCAGCCCTTCATTATCATACAGTGTCAGTGGTTGCCTGAAATTACCGTTCCCTAGTTCTTTATAGTCACTGATCTTACTTAGTAAGTCATCAGTGCAATTTAAACTTAACTATATCTGAGTTAAAATATTTGTGTTGAGCACTCCCTGTTTTCCATCACAATAGTTCGCATACTGAACAAGTTCTTCCGTGCTTTTTCCCGTTTGATCGACCCCGTATACGAGAGCAATCTATTGATTGGTAGAATTTCAATTTAGGTTTCTTCTGTATGACGGTACAATGTGTGGATATCAATAAAACTTTTCTCAGTTGTCACTGCTTTATCTGTTTTCAATCTCATACTATAAGTTCCAACCTAATTCGATAGATTTAATTCAGGGTTCAGTTTAAAAGTGCCGTCAAAGGATTGTCTACTTGTGAAATTACCCCAGATAAATAAGAATATATATATACATAAACATTTCCAAACAACTGACAGGGAATTCAGGGCAAAACGAAATACAGTGTACATAATATTTTGGTTGAACACGCAAAAATAAGTACAGTCTCTCGTGGCTAACCACGCATTTGACTTGCTGAGATTTCCCTTGGGAGCAATCCCGGACATAAAAGTGAATACTATCCTTCTTGCATTTTTAAATATATAATAAATATGGATATACCTCATCGATTTACCATATTCTTTGAGGTTGTTTTATCAATTGAGCTGGATTTTAATTGAGATCAGGTGAATGTAACCTCTGAAACAATGTTGTGGCTCTGTATGGTGGTGTCTCGAGCGGCAATTCAAACGAACATGATCAGAATGACATCTCTGGAAGCAAAGAAACCAACCTAACTCTTCTAACGAACGCTATTGTATATTGAACCTCATCATACTACTCGGTAACAAACCATAGATATATTCCGTGAAGCTTCACCGAACATTCGAAAGCAAAATACTCTATTGGTCAAAATCCAATCAGTAGTGCAAACCAATCCACCGAACGCGATGATTGTCGGTCGGGCAAGCTGGAACGGAGAGAATTCTCCTTCCACGTTTAGCCATACTGTTT